ATCTAGTGATATGTGTCTCGTCGATTTTTAGGAACAGTTTTAAAAACAATAAAAGAAAGTGTAAATAAATAAGTGAATTTGACAAATTATGCTGTATTTTTGTTTCTAAAATAAACAATTTAATACGCACATGCTGAGTACCCTTTATGGAAATTTACTTCTTATTTAAGCTGCAATTTAGGTCCATTAATAACATTTTGGATAGGTCCAATTCCACTGGTTATGGTCACTGAAGTTGATGTTATGAAAAAATATTTTATTTTGCATTCTGATATATTCAGTAATCGTTGGCGTAATTTTATCACTGACACTTTTATGGGTGAGATTTAATTAAACAGCTTTACATTTTTTGGTTATCTTAATCTGTTGCAGACATCTTAATTCCACTGTTTTTTTTTTTTTTTTTTTTGATGCTCTTAAAGATGATTCCCTTTTTTGGGGGCAAAAGGGGGAAAATGCTTCAGAATGAACTAACAATGTGAACTAATTTTCAAGTAATAAGATAATCAAAATTTTTTGAGTAATAAGGTCACAAGATACACTCAGGAATAATTTTTTTCTTCACTGTTTTGACTGAATGTTGTACAAAATTTCTGGCCTTTAAAAAAACAATGCTTTGTCAGCAAAAAGAAAAATAAAAATAAACTGTTTCTAGGCGGTGCAAATGGTGTCGTACAAATTGATGGTCCTAAATGGCAAGAGCAAAGACGATTTTCCTTGCACGTATTACGAGATTTTGGAGTTGGACGTTCTCTAATGGAAGAAAAGATTGAGTTAGAAGTTCAGTGTTTTATAGATTATTTGCAGCAAAAATGCAACACTGAAATAGATATTTGTCAGATGACGGCAGTTTGCGTTGGTAATATAATACACAACATTCTTTTTGGAAAGCGATTTCCACAGGTCCTTTTTTTCTCTAACGAAACACCAGATTTCTTAATGCTCTATTTTTGTGCCTGAAATAGATGGTGTAATATTAAAAACTAAATTTTGTAATTGTCAAGTTGCTAACTTTTTTCAATTTATTAACACATCTGTTCCAGGGTTACGTTTTTTATATGTAAACCGTAAATACAAATTGTAGTATTTTAGGGAAGCAAAGAGTTTCACTTTCTACATTCAGTTCTCGATAAACAGTCTCGCTTAGTAGTTAACCCGATTATGGGATTGTATATTGCAAGTCCGTGGTTTTCCAAAATTCCATTAATCAACGGAAAATATCATGAACTGTTGGAACTCAGGAAAATACTATGGACATATTTAAGAAAACAAGTTGAAGTAAGCTAACTGTAAAGAATATTCTAAGCTTTTCTGTACTTACGGCAACCATTAGGTATGAAATCTTTTAAAGTTGGAATACTCTACCGTTTACATTTAAAAATTTTTGCTGTTGAGGAACATTAATTTTGAATCTAGTACTAAAAATAGTTTACTTGTAGGAACACCGTCAAAATTACTCATCACAGATGGAACTTACTGATTTTACTTACACATATATGAGGGAAATGGAAGAGAGAAAAGAACGTGATGAGCAAGGATATTTCAAGTACACTTTTCTCAATGTTTATGTGATCTTAATCGAAGGTTTTTGCCAAATTTAGTCCGTTATTTTCGCCAGTGTTATGTAGTTTGAGCTGGTTGATATAGAAATTTTTTATAAGTTTTTCGCAATGTTGTTGAGAGTTTTAGTGAGTGGCAATTAACAATGCTATTGTTGGATCTATTTTTTGCTGGAATGGAAACAACTGTAACAACAATGAAGTGGGGTTTTCTGATGTCATTGATTCATCAAGATGTACAAGCAAAGATTCAAGAAGAACTTGATCGTTGTGGTGAAAGAATTCGACTTTCTGATCAAACTCGGTGTCCTTTTACAGTAGCTACAATAAAGGTTATTGTCTTATTAAATTACAGGGTTTTTAAAAAAACACTTGAAGGTGTGATAAAGTAGGAAAACTAGTAAAATTATCTGGCTACAAAAATTTTTCTAACTGAAAGTTCTAATCTGGAAGCTTTGTATGATTTCTTTCTAGGAAATACAACGTATTGCCAATATTTTACCAATAAATTTGCTTCGAACAGCTGCTGAAGACATTAATATTGACGGTTATTATTACCCAAAAGGTACACTTTGCATTCCGCAAATATCAGTTGTAATGAACGACCCTCAGTTTTTTAAAGATCCAACAACGTTTTGCCCAGATAGATTTCTTGAAGCAGATATGAAAACACCAAAAAGGTACTTTCAATTCATTTTCATTATTGAATTCAGGCTCAATTTTTCCAAGAGTCTATGATTTTTATTCAACTATTACTTTAAAAACAATCCTATTTTGTTTTGTTTTTTTTTTTCTGTTTTTAATATGACAGATATCGATCGATAGATTTAAAATGCCTGATAATATTGATTTAAAAATTTGAAAAAAAGGAACGGAATAGTGAGAAAAGGATATCAGGATTAATGTCGGGAATGATAATCAAAGAAGAATTGACTAAATTATTACGGCATAAAAAATTTGTCCCATTTGACTGTTCGTTGATTCACATCACCAAACAGCTTCAGAGAAGATTTTTAGTCTAATCATTATTGCTCTGATATGCAGTCCTAAGTTTAATGGGGTTAAACCACTAACGCAGTATTTTTAATGCATAAATGATCAAAAAAAAAAAAAAA